AGTAATGGAAAATTTTTAAAAATAATTCCTTTTTTTGGTTTGGGAATTTTGTAATGTTTGATAGACATAGATCACAGATGGGGAGTATTTTCAGGTAGCCTATACTGGAATAGTGATTGTAAATATTCAGGAGCACTACTATTGAATATCCTGTACATTAATTTGGCTTTTCTAAAATGGATTCAGTCTTTAATAGGTAATATTTTAAACTTACCAGGTAAATTTTCCTTCCTTTCTTTCTGGTTTGATATGAACTCAAATGCTCTTTTTTGAGATGTGCCAGCTTTGCTAAGTTTCTATCATTTGAATTACCCCATACTGTATTATGGTAGTCTAAATAGGGTTGTATTTAACTGTTATAAAATAGTTTTCTGTGCCTTTCAGGGAGAAGTGTCTTATCCTTCTGAGAAGCCATAAACTTGAATTGACTTTTTTTTACTGATATATTTGATATGTACAGTCCATGATAGGTTATAGTTCATCAAAACTCCAAGTAGATTATCATGACAGACCATTTGCAAACTTTTATCCTTCCATGTCAGACATAGTTCATCACTATCAAGTTTTGTTCTTTTTCTCTGTGTTGAGATAGGTAATATTTCAGTTATACCAGTATTAACCACCATGCCAGTGCATGTGTACCAGTTGCCAAGTTTGTTTAGGGCATTCTGTAGAGAAATTTTGAGTTCATGCTTTGTGTTTTGGATGTCTAACAATGTTTTGACATCTGCATAGAGATCTGTAGATGATACTGAGTCCCTTAGTACAAGTGGTATGTCATTAAAAATAAAATAAATAGTAATGGACCTAGAATTGAGCCTTGTGGTACTCCACATCTAATAGTTCCAGGTTCAGACAGAACATGATATAAACATGTTGTGTTTTCTCACTTAAGTATGAAGTAAACCATCTAACTGTGCTTTCAGCACATTGGTAGATTTTCAGTTTCTTCAAAAGGATTTCATGATCCACCATGTCGAAAGCTTTCCTGAAATCTACTTTCCTGAAATCTACGAATACAGATCCTATTATTCTACCTTGGTCAAGTGCTTGAAGCCATTTATCAAGCTAATCTCACGTGAATGTTTCTGTCTAAAGCCTGATTGATTAGGTTGTAACTGCAGGTGTTTGGTTAAATATGATATGAAAGAGTCATGGACATGCTTTACAATCAATTTTGACAAGTTTGGTAGTATGGAGATTCACTGGTAGTTGTCAGTATCATCCTTTGAACCAGATTTTTAATAGGAGTTACATTTGTAGTTTTCCATATTTTGGGGACAGATGAGGTTGCAATACTTAAATTGATTATGAATGTTATGCTATCTACAATAGCCGAGGCAGAAGATTTAATGAGTCATGGACCATCTGATTAAGTCTAGCTTTTTTAGTATCAGTTCATTAAAGTTTTTTTCATTAACTTATTATATATTTGATTTGACAAAATATATTAAAAATTTATTTTGGGTTTTTGCTTGCTCACTTGTTTTAACAAGATGTTAGTAGAATACTGGCTACATAGCGTTGATTAAAAGAAATTTTTAAAAAGATTTTAAAACAATTCAGAGTTAAAATGTAGCAAGAAAACTTTAATTAGGAAATTAATACAATTTTGTTGTCAAGATCATTTTAGTCCAAATTTAATTTGCATGATGACCAGCTATGGTGTCGTAGCCTCAGTTTAGTCCACACCCATGAACTAGGGGTATACATATTAATACATGTACTAACATACACATATTTTACAATAATTATAGGAGACTACTAAAACTTTGAATAGGTGAGTTCTGAAATCATACACTTATGTTCATGATTATATGTATGAAGTTAAAATTGAGATTCTAGAAAGCTTCTCCAATCATGACCCTACCAATATAGTTTTTCAGTATGATGCATTGCATCTGAATATTAGAAGTTGCTTCTTGGAGAAGAAGAGGAACTGGTTGTTCCAGGTTGTGTACATTACCAATGCAAATAAGCCTGATGAAATCTTCAAGGGCTCAAAGCATTAGCAACACAAATCTCCCTAGCTACTGTATCCCTGTATGCCTTTGTAATTCCTAACATGTTTAGATAAAACTAATAATATCAATGTCAGAGGTGTGAATTTATTTTATTTATAGACACATTGGCAGCTAGAGTTTCAGGTCTTGTATCCATCACCTGTCTACTTGCTACTAAATATCAACTATAGGTCTTATATGAATTCAGGTCTTCACATTACATAAACATTTTTTTACCATTTTTGATGTATTAATGCATGGTTTACATCTGATCTGACAATCACTCAGCAATCTGAGTAGTTGTTTTTGTTTTGTTTTTTTTAAAAAACATTTTTTTCTACCTGGATTTTGTAATCACCTTTATAATAATTGACCTTATTAACTGCCAAGTATTATTTAATGAGCATAAGTGTAAAGCTGTTTGACTGGTAAGCTTTTCCATTTATACAGGCATGTATATTGTGGTGTTAAAAATATGTCTCTAACTGTCTCTGTCTCTCACTTGAAAAATATTTTTATAAACAGGCATGTATGCAGAATTGATAGTTAAACCATGTGTGTACATGCCTTTGCAGCTTTATAAATTGTAAATGGACTGTACATCATTTTCTATTGATTTTTGTTTTTGTTGTGTTTTCGAGTTTTTGTCATTTGGGTAGTAGATAAACAAAAATAAGAATATCATGAGACAGGTGAAAACAGATTTATTACACAAAGCTTGCAACAATGAGCAGCTTAAAATGTTTCTCACTTTGCAGGTAGCTTAGCAAGGACAGTGTAAGTCAAGTTATCAAGCTTCATTTTTTAAGTTTACAGATCTCTTGAATTTCAATGTTTATTCTTTGCATGCTTGACCTCATCTTCAGAAATCTCATTTTTTAAGGTTGGTGAAATTTTACAAACGTTTTGAATTTTAATGTTTATTTTTACATGGCTGATTTCATGTACAGTGATATCAAGTGGTTCTGTCCTTCAAAGACTTCATACAGTATAAAGATCAGCCTAACTCAGGTTTACCCATTGAATACTATTCATGCTAAAATGAATATAAACTGTTCAATTGCATGCCAGCCCACCAATAATATTGGATATTATTTCTTTAAATAATTCATAACTTGTTGAATTATCCAGTTGTTACCTTCCCATATCATCTCATCTGTCACCCATATTAATAGATGGGTATGATAGATAATTGCCAGTCTGGTTGCTACAGATATAAGTATGTAAATGGTTTTATTGTACTTGTATTTGCATTCCCAGGTAGCCTTTGGCCCAAGTTTTGTAGGTATCATTTTGTCCCCATCAAGCATTTCTTTGATATACTGGTACCATGTATTTGGAGATAAAATGTCTTATTTAATCTTTAAACCAACACAAGCTTGCTCCTCTTTCATAGAATTTTTTTTAATAAGTGGACTTGAAAACTGAACCTTCAGCCATGATTGCCAATGGAGAATTGCAATAAGGAGATTACAGTCGGCTGATAATCAATTGATTTGTCTGTTAGGTAGGAAATAGCTGGACCTACCAAGCAGGATACCTGGACAGATTTTATTATTTATGTTAATTATACAAAAGAGGTCAATAAATTATACAAAGATATTGTAGATTTCAACATGATTAATCAGAAGCTGGAGATATCTATCAGGGGCAACTTTCATCATTTGATTTGTATGTGTGATTTAGATTTTTAAGAGCTTTAACAGTTTTTCAGTCTATCACTTCTATGTCTGCAGTGTGACAGTTTATAGCATGTCTTATCACTGGGGCATCATGCCCAGACATGTGACATAATGTCCCACCCAGTCACATTAATTATTCTGACACTAGGCTGACCAGTCCTAACTTTAAACTCAGAGTACCAAGCGAGTACCAAGCGAGTACCAAGCGAGGCAGCTGTAAGTACCATTTTTTAAAAGTCTTAGGGTTGACTTGGTCAGGGTTCAAACCTGTGACCTCCCACATCCAAAGCGGATGCTCTAACCACTAGGCCACAGAGCATTTATGTATCTAAGTAAGGCTAGAACAGAAGATCTACAGAGAGAGAAAAGAGGTGTTCACTGAGGCTAACCAGTCCTAACACTAACCTCATAATGATGAATCCTAAGAGAGGCAGCTGTAAGTATAATTTTTTAAAAGTCTTTGGGTTGACTTGGTTTATAATTCTAAATTAATAAAATACCTCATAGGTATAGTCTTTCGGACTACAAAACCAAATTAAAACATTTATATAATTCAAAATTCTAAATTTATTTAAAGCCCCATAAATTCTTGATTAACTCTCCTTAGGCTTGTGCTATGAGTAATAATAATACATTACTCTCTGTATTTAAATCCTAACCCAGCCAGTGCCAAGGTTTCAAGATTAACATATATTTAATATATATGTATGTTGTGCTGTGTCTGTAGAGTGTGTCTGTATGTTCCAGAGTCTATAGTTCCAGAGTCTATATGAGCGCTAAAGAGCATCATTTTTTTGGTAATGTCTCAATAGCCATGGTAGTATGGGTGCTGGATTGTGCAGGCAGGCGATAGGTGGTGCATAGGTGGTGCAGTATCCCTCAACATGAGGACAATATATGTTCGAATTGGACATAAGATATATTTCTTTCTTTATTTGTAATTCTAAATTAATAAAATACCTTATAGGTATAGTCTTTTGTGTTACAAAACCAAATTTAAAAATTTATATAATTCAAAATTCTAAATTTATTTAAAGCCTTCTTGAGTAATTCTCCTTAGGCCTGTGCTATGAGTAATAATAATATGTTTGGGTTGACTTGGTCAGGGTTCAAACCTGTGACCTCCCACATCCAAAGTGAACACTCTAGCCACTAGGCCACCAGAGCATTTATGTATCTAAGTAAGGCTAGAACAGAAGATCTACAGAGAGAGAAAAGAGGTGTTCACTGAGGTAGACCAGTCCTAACTCTAACCTCTTAATGATGAGTGGCAAGCAAGGCAGCTGTAAGTATAATTTTTTAAATATCTTTGGGTTGACTTGGACAGGATTCAAACCTGTGACCTCTCACATCCAAAGTGGATGCTCTACCAATAGGCCACCAGAGTGGTTGATCATTTGATACTTAAGAAGCAGTTTATTACATCTGTTGAATCAGATGCACTGACATGAGACTGCAGTAGAATAAAATCTGCTGTTGCCCTTATGTTAAGGCCAGGTATTGCATTCCATCCAAAACATAATTACCATATGTATTCAAAGGTAAGGCAATGTTTTTTATTCCCCTGGCTCTCCCTTCCTTTTAAAAATATTTATGGAAATATTTACTAAATATATCTCCATCTCACCTCTGTCTGCAATGGTTCAAGTCTAAGATTCAGTGAATGTGGATATGTGAGAAAGCTTGACAGTTAAGCTTCTTGTGGGTCAGTGGTTCTTTCCATGATTTCCTGGATTTTTCCTCCACCATTATTACTGGCCGCCATGTATAGCCTATCTTGTGCCTTAAGCCCCAGAACAACAACTAAATATATCTATGTCTAATAATAGAACCACTGCAATTTTTTGACAACTTTTTGAACAATTTATTAGACTGGTCCCAGTTATTGTTATGGAAGAAATACTGGAAGGCTTTGGATAAAAATTAGTGATAAATTGTTTTTATGTGCTGGTTTGGAATTAATCATGTTATTTCTTTAATTTGATTGGTTGTTTTGTGCAACACCACAGAACACCATTATGTGATACCAGAAGGAGTTCTTATTATCAAGATATGAATCCAGTCTTTGAGAATGTGTTAAGTAGGTTAGTAAAAAGACAGATCAGGATGTGTTTGATTAGTTGTTAAAATGTGTCAAACAGCTTAGTGAACAAGACTAATCAAGATGTTTTTGATTATATGATAGTGCTCACAGTTATCAAATACTATAATTTAAACTGTGCTGAAACATCAGAACTCATACTTATAGCATAATTTTTATTGATCAGAGTCTATATTGTTTGTCTACCGATTGCTCCTAACTACATTGAACCAGATCTGCTGGCCCATTATGTGGTGGCAAATCTGGGTTTGTGCAGTTTGTAGTTGGACTGAACTTATAAGTGAGTATATACAGTAGTCCTATTTTAATCTTATTTTCCTGTGATATTTTTGTAAAGGTGCTAAATGATACATTATATATACATCTATGGGCACACTGAAATTCTGATTAAATCTCTTTATACTGGCTAGCTTCTTAAACTGGTCAAATATTTTGTCCAAATGATGTCTCATTTTTGAAGCTTGATTGTTATGTTGTTTCCATCATGTGACTGATTATTTATTTTTGTAGCAATTTAAAAAGTAGGGTATATCTTGTGTATTTCTGACTGCCTTCCATATTGATTTGTAATTTGTTGACATGTTTTTATCTTTGTGATTTATAACCTTGATAAAGCCACTGGTAGTTACTGTTTATGCTCGCTTGTCAGTCCAGCAACAAAAATCTTCTTTAGCATAATGTGCACTGGGTAATTTAAGTATAATTTTATGTGTAAATTTTACACCTGCTATGTCATAACTGCATCCCTACCACATGTATTTTTGTCCTAGAAGAGTTAACTCCCTTTTCATATTTGTACCTGCTTTCCATTTTATAGGTTCATTTCTCTCCTACTATGATTGTGCATATTGATATACATTACCAGTAAGATCCTTTTTCAAGATTGATCTAATCCACAAAGTTGGAATATGGTATAACAGGCATCTGTGGCAGTAAGCTCTTCTACCTTCATTATATTAATGGCTAATTTCAGCAGCTGCTGCCATCCCACAAAACATGCCAGGATTAAGACCAGTGCATCTTTAAAGTATAGTAATGTATTTGTTTTATTTGAGACCTTGGTCAGTGATGACTCTGGACTTAGGCTGGGCCATGTAATGTTACACATCAGAATAGTGAAGCCATTAAATGAGCTATCATACCAACAGTTCTTCATCAGTAGATGTGTTTAGGGTCAGTGCTTCTAATTTTCATTAGAAGAAAACCAATGTTCATTTGAGCCTTTTTAGCAATGCAAACAAAAATTAACAATTAAGTTGAAGATACATACATGTATGCCTGCATGCCTACCTACCTACCTACATGCATACACCCCCCATATACATGCATACTTAATTGATTATGTTACTATTTGTTTAAAATATAGTTTATAAACTTCACATTGCAGATTTGAAGCCTAATCATTAATTTATGTGCCATTTGATTCCTTGGTTTACTTGTTTTTGAGACTAAAGTTAGCTTGTATTGTAAGTTCCTGTGTCTGTCATGAGTCTTCTATCATGTGTTTTGTATCAGTCAACATCAGCTGTTTGAAACTCCTCTTTAAACTGTCAATCCAATGTGTTCAACAGGGAGTATCCATGCATTATGCCATGGCATGGATTGTATAAATCTACTATGAATTATGCCATTGTAGTATAAATCTACTATGAATTATGCCATTATATAAAATCTACTATGAATTATGCCAGCAGTTAATAACAAAGCTTTGAATAACATGATACCTTCTTCAAAACCCAGTGATCAGTCTGGAACACACCAATTTGATCCAACATCAAACTGTTCACATTTATACAAATGATATGCATCTATCACAGGATATGGCCTCCATTTAAAAAATAGAAAAAGCCTTGAGCATCTCCTTAAAAACCACTTGTTCAATTTTATTCATATTTAATGAGAGCATCTATTTGGTTATACTGGCTATAGACCAGAAGTAGCTTTGGCATGTTGTATGTTGTCAATCTATCCATTAGCTAAACTCCTTGGTGAATTACCATAAAATCTTACATACACATTTGTCTCATGATTTAGTTGGTCCTTTCTGAAAATGCAGCTGCTCAGACCACCAGTATGTCTACCATAGCAGTTCTCTTACAAATTTTGTTATATAGAGTAGGTACTCCTTCAGAATGGATAGTCACATCAAAGTGGGGTTTTTATTTAAAGATTTCTTATGGTATCTAATTGGTCTTAATTGAAAATGTTGACACTCCAATAATACTGGCCGCCATGTATAGCCTATTGTGTGCTGAAAAATGGCGTTAAGCCCCACAACAACAACAACAACAACAACGACACTCCAATATGGTTCCCACATTGAAAATCTTGTTAATGATACTTCTCTTGAATAAATAACCAGATCAATATAGAACTTTCACAAAAAGACATTCTATAATTTCTGGTTGTTCCAAATGAAAATGGTTGCATCCATTATAACCACTGTAACATCAATCTTGAAACTTATTGATATACTTTCTGAATGGCCAGTGATATTGATATGCAGTTTTCACTGGAAGACTTCTTGTGATGTCTTGTTGGTCCCATAAAAAATCTGGTAATGATCTGACCTCCAGTATTTCCACCACTGGTTTTAGATATAAGATAAAACTTGAAGTGTGATGACAGATTTTCTATAGTTTACATATATTATGCATGAATTAATGATATATGTTTATATTTATCCTTACTATTTGGAGAGCTGATATACACTCATACCTCGTGAACTTCATCTTTTATGAAATGAATCAAAATTTTTAATGCTCTTAATTGTAATTTATTTAGTAAAAAAATTGTGCATTTATAAAAGCATGATCTTAAGGAAAACTGACATGTACATGTATAAAATGTTGGAGGGTATAAAATTAAGGGACACAACTATCAAAAAACCTGTACATTAGTTCCATGAATTCACCTCCCATGACTCAAACCAAGAATGAGAGTTAGCAGCATCCAATTCCAGCAGATATATTACCTCACTTATGAGTCCAAACAGCAAGCTGCATTGACCCATATCTGCTGTTGCATAATGCACTAGCAGGTCTGGGTCTGTACAGCATTTTAGGAATAATCAGTAAGACAGTTAGCATAGACTTTGATCTGCAGACACCTTATACTACAGCAGATCAGGAGTTTTGTTGTTTGCAGTTTGTTTCAACTTATAAGTGAGTATATATGGTACCAGTAACATACTTCAGTTCTCTTTTGATTCTCATGAATCTGTGTTCATTGATGTTTTTCATTTATAACTTTTTTAATTTGCTCTTAAATATGTTATACTTTTATATATTATAAGCTTATATGTTATATTTTTATCTATTGTACACTTATATGTGTTACACATTTATGTTATATGTGTTACACACTGTTATGGATCACTGCCATCTCACCTCTGTCTTCGTGGGTTGAGTCTAGGATTCAGGAATGTGGATATGTGAGAAAGCTTGCCAGTAGCTTATCGTGGGGTTGGTGGTTCTTTTTGGGTTGGTGGTTCTTTCGGTGATTTCCAGTTTCTTCCTCCACCATTAATATTGGCTGCCATGAATAGCTTATCATGTGCTGAAAAATGGTGTTAAGCCCAACAACAACAACAACACTCTTATGTCTTTTACTTTTTTATTTGTTACACTTTTAGCCATTGTACATTTATTTGTTAAACTTATTAGGAAAGGCAACAAATAAAAATAAAAATATAGGAATTTTAAACATATAAAGTGAAATGATATAGTTAAAAATTCTTTTCTTTGTTTTACTAAAGGATGAATTTTTAGTTTAGTTCTGTTTGCATGATTAATTTTTGCAATTTAATTGATTTAATGTAGTTTAAATGGTACACATTTAGAATGGAAATTTATTTTAAACATAAAATAAATATGTTTGTGCATTCAGCAGACTATTGGGAAACTGATTCAGGCTGTAAATCCTTATTAATTCATCAGATTCAAATTGTTGTTGTTGATAAATCTATCTAGTACTTTTCACATTAAAGTGAAAAAAAACATTTTGTTGGGCACGTTTTTTTTGTTTTGCCTCACTCAATCAAGGTCATTGCAACAAATTTGATGTTATCGTGCAATCAGATTAGTCTTCTTAAGCCAAAAAAGCTATATTTACTCCAGCTTGACATGTTATGTTGTGTTCAGGATGATTGTAACAAACAATACATTTCCTCTACAACTTGTTTACATTTGGAAGATTTTTTGTGTTGGCGATGCCACAGTATATGATGTGTCCCGTTGCAGCAGATGGGTTAAATTTTAACATACTATTGGCTATATTGTGCAAAGA